GCGAAGGGGAGACTTTGACCTGCTCTGCAATCAACCTTTTTGTTTTGAGGAGAAAAGAAAACAATAGAATCCAGGTGTGGTGGCACCTGCCTCTAGCCCCAGCTGCTCAGGAGGCTGAGGCAGGAGGATCTCCTGAGCCCAGGAGTCTGGGGCCAAGCTGCGCAACATAGCCAGACCCCATCTCTTAAAGAATAATACAATAAAATCAGTTTGAAAAAAATGGGACGATAGAAAAGCCTATTAGCTTTGAATGTTCGATAAATGTATTGATGATGATGATGATATTTCTCCCAGTTTTTTAGTAATAAAAAGGCAAGTGTCATGTTACTAATAATAATTTAAATAAACACAGTCCCTTTGAACTTGTGTGGGTCCTGCGTGTGTCTCTCCTCCATGCCGTGAGCGGAGCCTCGCCAGCCAGGGCTGGGGGTGACACAGCAGGTCTCTGAGCCGGATGCTGGGGACACTGTTGTTATTCTGGGTGTGAAATCCATGTCTCCGCCTCCTCCTCCTCGAACACAAAGGGCCCCTGGGACTGATCAGCTTTTTCGTTTTGGTTCTATTTTGACCTGCATCCCGTTGACAACCCTCGCTGGGAGCTGTTGCAGAGTCCCCTTGGGGTGCCTTTCTTCTGCTCCCCGGTCCCTGAAGGCACCCCTTCCCTCCCGGTCCATTTCCCTCCTGCCTCCGCAGCCTCGCCCCTGCCTGGGGCCGCTGCCAATGGAGCCACAGCTTCAGGGGACTCTGAGGGGGACTGGGGCCACCCTTTTAGGGGGAGATAACAAAGGTGGGGTGCTGGGTGCCCCGTCTGTCTGCCAGACACTCCCAGCCCCCCGGAGCCTGGCGACCCCCCATCTGTAAAGGAAAAGAACCGACCTGGCACCTTCTCAAGGTTTCCCAAGGGGCTGAGCCTTCAGAAGCCCCTCAGCGCTGGGTCCCGCCCCGGGAAACGTTCCGCGCTTTGAGCTCGGAGAGGCCCAGCCCAGCAGGTCGGCCCCGGGAGCTAGCCACCCGGGAGAGGGCGCAGGCCTCATGGCTTTGAACCTGGATGGTCGGAAATATGAGCAGCTTCCATCCTGAGCAACCCCTGACCTCCTCAGACAAGAGGGGCTTGATTCTCAGCCTCCTGTGAGGCCAGGGCCTCGAGAGAGAGGCAAGAGGACCCTCTCCCCTAGCTGGTGCGGGGCAGCCACCCGTTGTTGTGGGGAGACTGACCCTGAGCTGACTGTTCCTTTACCTGGTAGTTCTGGAAGCATCTCTTTGAGGGACAGATCCAGGTGACAGATGTAAGTTTTGAGGACCAGGGAAATTAAGAACGTCTCCTTGGAGTTTCAGAGTTGGGAAATGGAAGGTGATCAATCGGTGTCGGGGGAGAGCGGGTTGGGGACAGTCCAGGAGGTGGGCTGATGCTAAGTCCTTGGATACAAAGCCTCGGGAGAGGGCCGTGGAGAAAGGGGACCCCACGGAGTGGGAGAGACACTTTCAAAGAAACAGAAGGTTTGGGGATTTTGCCACTGAGGGAAACTCCCTTCAGGTCCTTGAGCCTCAGGTCCCACCTGTAAAGGGCTTCCTGTGGGCCTTAGTGAAGTGACCACAGCAGCTGGCCAGCCCCAGGCCCAGGAGGGTGGCTGTAGCAGGGGTGGTGCCCGGTCCCACTGGGCCAGGAAGGAACCTGGCCAGGCTCCTGCGGCCAGCCGTGGCCTTCCACCTGGGCACTTCCAGGGGCAGCTCTGTCCAACAGCCAGAGAGGGGTCCGGCCCTGGCCACAGGCCAGTGCTACAGCTTCTAGGTGCTTCCATCGCTCGGCTGTTCCAGGCAGGACCTGGACTGGGCTTTCTTGTACATATTGATGGAGGCCCCAGAGGGAAGGAGAAAACAAAGGACGTTTTATTTATGATGGAAAAAAAAATCAACAGGGAAAAAAAATCCACAGGCCCAACAGGAGGGGGATGTTTAAATAAACCGCGACGCATTCACTCCATGGAATAGCGGGCAACCAGTGAAATGGTGTTTACTGAGGTTTGTAATAACACGGGGAAATGCTTCTTCTGAAACGCTCCGTGAGAAAGGAAGCCCCCGGATTGTACACTCAGCATAATCGCTCCCTGGCAAAGCCCAAGCCAAACAAAACCCTCACGGAAGAAAAGGGCCTGAGGGACGCGCCACAGTAGGGGACGCTTTGGTTGGCAAAATCAGGGAGGTTTTTTATACTTTCCTCTATTTTCCACTTTTTTTTCCGTAATGGGTATGGCTGGCTTAAAGGGGAAGGCACCCCAAATCTTATTATTTTCTTTTCCTAAAAAAGAAAGAAAGCTCTTACTGGAAAAGCAAGACAGATGTCCCGTGGAGAGCCAGGTGACACAGAGGCCACCCGAGGCTATGGGCACAAGGTCAACAGGCCCCGGATATTAAGCAAGTTCAGGTACAAATCCTGGAGTCTGAGCCAGGAGGAGGCCTCAGCAGGCTGACAGCTGACACCTGGGTGTGGCATCTGTGACAAACCCGCAGTCCTGCCGCTGGCTCCCCGGATGTGGGGACTCTGCTTCTCTCCTTGTTTCTGAGCCGGGATCTGCTGTATGAAGTCGGTGTCCTGAATTCTTTCCTTTGACCCAACAGCTGACCCACAATGGCTGGGCACCTGCTTCTCCTCTGCACTAAGGGGACACTCTTGTGGAAGTGGCCCTGTCCTCCCCAGCTGGTGTGGCAGAGCCCTGCTAGTGGCCCAGCTGGCCTTCCCATCCCGGGTCCCAGCATCTCCCGGATTTCCATTCAGAACCCTGCTCAGATGCCACCTCAGAAGGAGCCTGATCACCCCATTTAAAACAGTGACCCCGTCCCCTGACACTGGCCCCTGGCCCTGCCCTATTTTCCCCCGACACCTGCGCAGCTCGGCTGCTCTCTGCTGGTTTCTGCGATTTCTTTGTCCGATCACCTGTTTTTCTCCACTAGCAGGTGAGCCTCCGGGGGCAGGCACCGGTCCTAGAACTGCGCCTGGCCCGTGGTCAGTGTTCATTTCCCAGTGAACGGACGAGTCCCGGGGGTCGTGGCCCCAGGTGGTCATTCAAGTCTCCCTGGTCTTCCTTCCTCTGCCGCGATCCCCTGACCACTTCTGTCCCTGAACCCAACTCCAGACCAGCCCGCCAGCTGGGACACTACACTGAGACAGCTCTGAGGCCATCGTAAGGGCTCTTTGGGAAACGATGATTAGCGAGATCTGCTGGGGACCACGTCCTGCCTGTCACCTGGGCCCTGCCCATCTCAGCGCTCCCCACTATGAAGACAGAGTTGCTGTCTTCTCCTGGGACCGCTCCCTGGTCCCTGCCGTAGGTGTGCATCCCACCCCCTGGGTTTGCCCAGTGGGGTCCTGGCTCCTCCTGGGCCTGCAGCCCCTCCGGGACTTCACGCAGCCCGCTGTGTCTGACCCTCTGCCGGCTCCTCGCCAGAGGCCCGCCTTGGCCTGGGTGGGCTCCACTGCCCCCTCCCACGCAGAGTCCATCCCCAAGCACACCCTCCCAGCCTGTTATCGCGGGCCAGTCAGGGCCTCCCTTGAGGCTTGTCACTGAAGCCACCTTCCCACCCGCTGGGCCCAGGGAGGGTCAAGTACGAACACAGCCTTGTGGTGTGGGTCCAGCCACGGTACAGACTGCCTCACCTGCCCAGGCCTCAGCTAGGGAGGGCGGCCCCTTGTGTCCAGCAGGACCTCCCTCACCTCCACCCCAACCTCCTCCTCATTCTTTGATCCAATTCTGCATCTTCCAGAAAGACCCCCAGCTCTGCCCCAGCTGCTGCCGCAGACGCAAGCTCCGGCCAGGACCCCTCGGGATTGGGGAAGGACTCTGCAGACACTGAGGTCCAAGCCGTCCCCTGTCCTCCCCCGTCAGGCCCTGCCCTGGCTCCTCCCAGCTCCCCGGCTACTGGCAGTGACCGAGAGCATTACTGCTCCCCCATACAAGCCTGTGCCACCCTCAGAGACAGAACTAGGCTGTGGTGACAGAATGGACCTGTCCCTCTCCCTTCCTGGAAGCCCAGGTTCCTTCCCAGGGACCCGTCTCCTCCCTTCCCGAACTCATGGAAGGATAGGAAAGGAGGCCCCGTCTCTGGAGGCTCCACGGAACCCTGTGTGCCTCAGTGTCCTCACTGTCCCCTCCCATCTGATGAGGCCAAGGTGACCGCAAGGCACAGACTGGGCAGATCATGCATCATTGCTCACGTCCCTGCGGTGCTGACTGGTAACGGCTACCCCAGCGTCCAGGCAGGAGGGCCGGGCCCTGGGAAGGACTTGGAGACCTGGGCAATGAGCTCCGTGGTCAGGCGGCTGTGGGCCTGAGCAGGGGCCCGGGAGGAAGGCGGCTCCGATCCAGTCACCTCTGTTCCTCCCTCTCAGGACCCTGCCCTGCTCCTGGCAGACCCCTGCAAGACGGTGGCTCTTCAAAATGGACGCTTCTCTTCCTCCCGATCCACAGAATTCCAGGGAACAAGAAGTCAAGTGGACTTTGGGAAATTTACGGCGAGCAAAGGTCCTCGGGTCCCCAGCTGCAGCTACCTGAGCCCCGGGGCCGGCTTCCTCCCTGGTCCTGTCCAAACCAGCTCCCTCCGTCCTTCCCACCCACGGCCGGGGCGCTCCTGGGAACCAAAGGTGGGACCCAGGGACCAACACTTAGGGAGGGGAACTTCCCAAATGTCAGCCATCCCCAGAGGGACCAGCTCGAGAGGCTCTTGGGGTCACAGGCTCCTGGAACTGCGGTTGTGATAAGGTTGTGCCCCTGAGCTTTGGTGGGGGCCCCCCCGAGGATTCAGATTTGAAGCAAAGTGCTGTCATCCAGACAGACATGGCTGCCTCTGGCCTCAGAACCGGCTGTCGTGTATCCACAGCCAGGGTAGGAGACGGGGTTAGATTTCCCCTCCATGGTCAAATCCCTGGGTCCCCCAGACATGGCCCCAGAGGATGGGTGGGGTGGGCTCCGCTCCCCGTTTTGCAGGAAGAGCCCAGTCCAGGGCTGCTAGACCCTGGTCTGAGGCATACCAGGGACGGGCAAGGCCAGGACGGTGGGCAGGAGGGTGCCCCGTGGGGACGGGAAGCCCTGCAGTTCCTTGGGCACAAACCTGGGTGAGATGTGGTCGGCCAGGAAGCAGAGCATGCGCTGGCGCCCCACGCAGTAGATGCGGCCGTCCACCGCGGCGCACTGGAAGGCGTCCGGGTAGGGCGTCCGGTAGGAGGCGCACTCGTACCAGAGCCGGGTGCTGGCGCTGCAGCGGTACACGCCGATGCCCAGGCTGCGGTTGAGGTCGAAGCGATACAGGAAGCCACTGACCGCCACCATCTCGGCCGTGCGGTCCTTGCTGCCCCCCGTGGGGCCGGACCACCAGCGCTGCTCCCGGGCCGAGAAGCGGAGCAGCAGGTAGCGCAGGGTGCCACCCGTGACAAAGATCTCATCGCCACACACGGTGGCCGTGTGCGCCAGGGCGAACGTGTCATTGGGGAGCGGAGGGGCGAAGGCCCAGCGGTCCAGGCGGGGGTCATAACACTCCACGGTGTTCAGACACTCGCCCCCGATGGCGTACAAGTGCCCGTCCAGGGCCACCAGGCGGCAGTGCGGCCGGGCCTGGCTCAGGGGACACACCTCACTCCAGATCCCCGTCAGCGGGTTGTAGCAGAAGACGCGATTGGAGGGCTGGCGCCCAGATCCCTGGCAGCCGGACACCACAAAGAGGTAATTGAAGAGAGTGCAGGTGGCGCATCCCCAGGACACGGCCTCGGGGGGCAGCTGAGCCAGGGGGTGCCAGGTGTCTCGGGCATCGTCATAGCCACAGAGGCGGCCACAGCCTTCCTGCGGGCACATGTCGGCCACCACCAGACACTTGTGGCCCTGGAGCCGCTGCTGGAGGATCAGCTCCCGCTCGGCCCCGCTCAGGCGCCCGTAGATGTCGGGGCTGCGGAGCACCTGGAGGTAGTTGTCGCTCATCACCCTGTAGGCTGCCTCCTTCAGGGCCTCCAGCTGCTGCCTCTTGGCCCAGGCCAGCACCTCGCAGCAGTTGCCCAGATCCAGGCAGATGTCCGGGGCCGTGGCGGGGCCCAGCGGCACCTGGAAGAAGTTGGTCCCGGCCACAAGCTGCACGCGGGGCTCCGCGCTGCTCCCAGGAGGGCTGGGCAGGGGGCCCTGGTGGGGGTGGGAGGGAGCGGGGGTCCCAAAGCCATCCAGCTGGAGCTGGAGCTCTGGGTGGTCGGCGATGTGCAGCAGGCTCTCCTTCCTGCCGAAGCCTTGTGCAGAGGGGGACGGCACAGGCTGGGGAGAGGCCGCCATCTCAGCGCCTCCCTCTGTGTCGCCAGTCTCGCCTCCGGACACGGTTCCGGTTCCCAGGGGCCCTGGCACCGGCTCAGGGGACAGAGCCTGAGGCAGACCTGGCGCCCCGGGGGCCAGCCTGGAGACGGCCTGGGAGGTGGCCTCGACGTAGTAGTCGTACACCTTGCCCCTCAGCCGGGGGCCCGGCCCCTCCGCCTTCCCGATGAGGTTCTCCTCCACTCGCACCCGGGCGCTGGACGAGAACGTGTAGGCCGCGTGGCCGGCGCCCTCCGGCTGCTGCAAGGCCAGGCCCAGGTCTGAGGTGGCCTGGAGGGCCCCAGTCTCTTCCCTGCTGACCCCTGTGCTGGGGGGCAAGGCCTGGCTCTGGCTCATGTCACCGCTGCCTTCTCTGGCAGATGTCCAGCAGGGAGGGGGGTCCAGCTTCCCGGACCCCGGGTGTGCAGGGGTCCCACCATCCGGCCGCGGAGCTGGCTCACCACCCACGCAGTCACCGTCCACTGCCACAGCAGGTCCAGTTACAGAGCTTTCGGGTTCACTGCCTACAGGGGGGCGGCGGGGAGGGCCAGGCTTACCGCCAGCAGCTGTTCCGGCTTCCTGGCCGCAGCCGGGAGCGGGCACCAACTCCAAGTCCGGGCGCTGCCCGCCCGGCTCCTCTCCAGAACCCTTCCTGGGGGCCTGGCCGTCTCTGGAAGTGGCTGCGGTGGCCAGGACACAGGGGCCTCCTGGATCCTCCCAGCTACAGCCCAGTGGCCTGCCAGCCTCCTTGCTGGCCCTCCGGCGCTTTCGCAGGGACCCTGGAGAAGCCCCCTGCGCGGCAGGCTGCCCCGAGCCCTCTGCTTCCTCCCGGGCTTTGGTCCTGGCCCCCGCCCTCCCCTGGGGGGCCGGGGCCCGTCTCGACTTGTACAGCCTGTAGGCGGCGGTCACCAGGAGCAGCGCGGCCGCGGACAGCACCACCTTGCCGGCCAGCTGCATGTCCAAATGCCAGTCCAGGGCCTCGGCCCCTCTGGGGAGCATGCTTCTCAGGCAGACCTGGGGCAGAGGAATGTCAGGAATCCGATTAATGATTGCCCAATAGGGACGGTTCTGGGTCCCGCTGAGCCGAGTGGGAGGGAGCCCTGGGCTGGCCCTGGCTGGCCAGCTGAGAGTTGGAGCAAAGTTGACTTTGAGCTGGCAGAGTGGCCACCGGGGCCAGGGATGGCCGATCTCAGCGACTGGCCTCCTTAGATGCTTCCTGGGGGTGGTGTCGGGAGGGGTGGTCTGCCCAGGAGCTGAGTTGAGGTCAGCCACCTAAGGCGGCTCTGCGGCCAGCAGCTGGGGATGCCAGCAGTGCCCAGTGGGTACGTGAAGAGGGAGGACGCTCTGAACCAGTCACCCGATGCCAGGAAACGCACAGGGTTGGCTGGTGTGTGTGTGTGTGTGTGTGTGTGTGTGTTTTGTTTTCTCGTTTGCAAATCCGCGGCACAGGAAGGTCTGGGTGTGGTGAGGCTGTGGCAGGTGCAGCCACAGTAGGCCTGGCATTGGTTGGCTCCTGTCCCCATAGTGGGGTCAGCATTCACCTGGTCAAGTGGGGGACACGGCAGGGGAGGCTGGACCCAGGGCCTGCGGCCAAGCCACTTGACCCAGCTCTCGACCACCTCTGCCCTCCTTCCCCGCCTGCCCAGTTTAAGAGAAACCAGCCTTGCCAAGAAGCAAGCAGCACATCCCACCAGTGCCCCGAGAGGAGAGTTAGAGTGGGGTCACCCTCTCCTCCAACTTCCATGGCGAGAGTCTGAGACAGACTGGCACCCCCAACGCCTGCTCAGTCCCCTGTCACTAACACTGTGGACCCTGGATCCAAACTGCCTGGCTCTGCCACTTACCAGCTGTGTGACCACTGACAAGTGACTTTGCCTCTCTGTGTCTCCATTTTCCTATCTGAAAAATGACAAGAGGGGGTGACAGTCATTGAAAGCCAGTAAACATCATCTGTTCAGGTCTCCCTCCTCTTGCTCCTTATCCTGCGACACCATTGCTAGTATAATGGCATCGGCTGCCACCCCCAAGCAGAACTCACTCTGCTCTTACTCTGAGCAAGGTCCTTGAAGGGTCAGGGCAGGTGGCATCAACAAGCTAGGACTCCCCCCACCAGCCCAGGGTGCCAGGCCACCGTGCCCCGCCCAGCCCGCCACTCCTGGTTTTGGAAAAGCTGAGAGTTGAGGGGGTGATGGGTTCACTCTTTTTTGACTGTTGTCATCTGATTGAAAAATGAAACAGAAGCCCAGCTGTGGCCAGGGAGAGACCGGGAGGAATTTGGCTGAGGCTCTGGCCCTGGGGAAACCCTAATTCCTTGGTGGATGTTTACCGCCTCCTGCCAGGCCGCGGGCCACCCCTGGGTTCACCTCCTGCGCGCGGCCAGCAGGCTGCCTTTGTCCTCTGGGCTGGCGGACACCCTCCCGCTCCGGATCAGGCCAGGGCGGCCGAGACGGTGTCTCCTGGGGCTTCCTCCCAAATCGGTCTTCACCTCACGGAGTCCCCTGTTCCAGGCTCTGTTCGACCTTGACCCCTGCCATCACCAAGTGCACTGGGGCACAGTGTCTGTCCTTCTCCTGCTCGCGGCCCCTTTGGGGAGACACTGTGTCCCTGTTTCTGGGCAGCAGAAGTGGATCTCTGTGTCACGTCAACTTGCTTGTGAGTGGGGACCTCAATCCCTGTTTGCAGACTCCACAGTTTTCCAGACCTAAATTCATCCGACCGGTGCCACTTCTCCCAAAGCCCCTTGGTGACCGGCAAGAGGAGACTCCCAGGATCCCTTTCTTTCCATCATGGGTGACAGAATTGTAATTGTCACTGGGATGGGCACAGGTATCCCCGGGGGAGCTACTTAGAAATGCAGATTTCCAAGCTTTGTCCACAGATGTTTGGGCTCAGCGGATTTGGGGTGGTCCTGGGGAACCTCGATGTTAACCATGGCCTTAGTGGGTCTCCGTGGCCCAGGAGGGAAACCAAGTCATCCTTTCCGCAGTGCTGAGGGCCGAGTGGGGTGTGTCTCTGCGCCCCACCCCGTTGAGGTGAGCAACTGCACCCAGATCCGCACCCCGCACGGGAAGGGAGTCCTGGGGCCCTGCCCACCTTAGGCCACCTCCCCCACCAGGTAAGCCTTCATCTTCCAGGGGAGGTTCGGAGGCCCGGGGGACTCGGCGTCTCTCTTGCCGGTGGAGAGCAGAGAGACTTGGTCTCTGACCCCCCGGCCGAACAGCCCATCGCCCGCCGCCTCCTCCTCGGGGAAGGGAAGGAAGAGACCTGAGGGCCACAAACATGGCCTGTCCAGGGCCAGGGGTAGCTCAGCGGTGGAGCTTGTGCCACCGAGCCCCCAGCCCTGGGCTCAACTCCTGGCACCAACAAAAAGAAAGATGAATTTTGTCCAGTGACGAGAGACGATTTTCAGGGTTGCTGAGGGACCCCAGTGCAGGGGAGTGTTCCAGGGTAGGGGCAGCTTTGGGGCTCTCGTACCCTTGGAGGGGGCAGACGTGTAGGCATGGACTCCTGGCCACTCATTGTCCTCAAAGATGCCACAGTGAGGGCTCCGTCTCGGCCTCTGTGAAAGCTACTTCTCATCTCAGACTCCACTGCCCGGAGGAGCTCTGTCCCTGGGCCACCAGCACACACCCTCCAGGGTTCCACTGGAGCCTGTGTCCCTGGGTCCTGGGTGTCCTAGACCTGCCCCAGGGCGAAGGAGGGAAAGTGGGGGGACTTCTGGAGTCAGAAGACCCAGCCCAGCCCCAGGGGACTCCCTGCCCAAGTCCAGAAGACGGTGTCCCCATGAGATATGATCAAGCCACCGGCTCCCCGAGGAGAAGCTAATGAGGCGAACTATCAGAATAGAAGTGGGGAGAGTTCTAGAAAGAAGTGCTGCGCATTGGTGTTGAGGAGGGGAGGAGGGGAGGCCAGGTGGACAGGTCTCCAATGGGTCACCAGGTGCTTCCCTGGCATCAGGCCACCTGCTGGAGTGTGACCTGGAGGGTTGAAGAGACAGTCACAGCCCTGGGCCTGTGGGGACTGTGGCCTAGCGGGGCAGGAACATGCTAGGCAAGGAGACGGGTGTGACCTGCCGAGGGGGCTGGCTCGGGGAGCATGGAGGAGCCGTTGTACCCACCTGGGACCCGAGAGAGAGAGGGGACGGGGGAGGACCTCCGTGACAGAGCACAGCGACTTGGGGCTGGGAACAGGCTGAATGCAGGAGGCAGGTGGCCTGATTTGAATCCTGGCGTGGCACTTCCCGTGACCATCCCCTGTTTAGGGACAGAAGTGACATTTGCAAAACAGCTGTCCTCATTCATGGACCCTGTGGTCTGCCTTCCGGTCCAGGCCTCAGGGAGCACAGCCCTGAGGCCACAGATGAGAAGGAGTTTGTCACTCAGAGCTCCCAGAGGAGGGGGTACACCATGTCTCCCCAGGAAACTCCAAGGCAGAGAGGGAGGGCAGAGGAGTCCCTGCTGCCATCAGTGGCAGGGTTTGGGGGAGGCGGCCCGCAGGCTGGGCCTGTCTTGGTCACGTGAGGCCAGGGTGGGGGGGGGATACAGGGCAGAGTGACAGGGCCCGAGGGTGACGAGGGTGACGAAGGAGGTGTTGGGGGCAGTGGGCTGGGGATCGGGGGTTTGCTGGGCAAGGTGGGCTCCTGGCCGAGTGGAGCCAGCTGACCCTGGGCGGGGCCCTTCCAAGGCCTCAGTACCTGGAAATAAGGAAGGACTCAACACGGAGTCAGAGGACGCAGGGCAGAGGGGGCCGTGGTCCTGAGGGGCGCTGGGAGTCTGGGCTCCGCCCCGAGGTCCCCTTCCCCCTGCAGGTGAACCCGCGGCCGCCGGCTGACTTCAAACTCCATAAATCACAGCTTTCTTTCTTTTTTTTTTTTTCCAGTCTCTGTTTGGAGAAAGTGAAATGAACAAATGAAGACAGGAGTGAAATTAAAAGATAATCGGGAGTCTACGTTGGTCTCCCTGCGCGCGGGCAGGATAAATGCACAGCTCTTCCTCCCCAGGCTGCAGGGCCGGAGAGCAGCCGGAGACGTGCGTGAGACATGTGTGCCGCGCAGACGAACGGCCCCTCTCTGCGGGGTCAGCCTCACGTCCACCCTGCCAGGCCACCCACCCTCTGCCCAGACTCTGGGTTCTCGAGGCCGGCTCCAGGTGGCCATGGCAGAAGAGGCCCCGAGGCTGGGGGCAGGTGGGCACGGGCGCCTTGGGAGGGGAGCTGTGTGCAGAGTGGCGAGAAGTTGGAGGGGGGCTCGGGGGGCCACACGGCCCCTAACACACTTGCACGTATGCGTCCCCACGTACACAAAAGGTGCCCGTGTTTGTACGAGGATATGCGTGTGCACACACGCGAGAACACTCGCACACACACACGCACGAGGGAAGGCATAGATCTTCTGAGTCTTGAAAGGTCAGAGATCCAGCCAGGTGCCCTGTGCTCTAGTCCCAGCTAGACTGGACGGGAGAGGGAGGGAGGGAGAGGGAGGGAGGGAGGGAGGGAGAGAGAGAGAGAGAGAGAGCGCGCTTCTGCCTGGGACTAGGACACGGGGCAGGGCTGGGCTGTGGAGAAGGAGGTCACACATTTGCTGGTGACTTTCCACTCTGACTGGGCCCTTCCTTGGGTAAACACTCCCTGACATACGCCGGGTTCTATGGCACTCCACATCCCTGGCTTGTCCCCGGCCGCTGTGCACTGCACACCCCTGCAGTTGTCACAATGCCTGATGTTTCCTTCTGGTCGGCAAATAGCCACCGCCCCATGCCACCAGCCTGCCTGCCGCTCCCCCAGCACGCCCTCGTCCTGCCCCCGTCTCCCTCTGTCCTCCCTCTGTCCTCCCTCTGTCCTCCCTCCGTCCCCCTCCGTCCCCCCCGCCCTGCAGACATGAACTCCAGGTCGGCCCTTGGTGCTGCTGCGAGGGTCTTCGGAAGGCTGCCTCCTGCTGATGGGCAGCCCCCCATGAGCGTGTTGAGGTCTCCTCCAGTGCCACCCCTCCAGGCCTCCGCTGT